CCAATATAAGTTCCAAAACTATGCAGTGCAACAGATATTCATGCCATGCGTGTCAATACTATTCTACTGGCCAGAGAAATGCAGGAATACATCTATTACCTACAGATAGTACAAGGAACACCGCTTGCACCTCACCCACAGCCTCACCATATTGTATGTACTACATACTCAGGCTTACCGTATAGGTGGAACACCACATGCATATCATAAAGGCACTAGCATATAACAGCTCAACAGCATTTCCAAAACAGCAAAAGCATGTAACACAGCATGCATATAACCATACCTTAATGGGACATGGTGGAACCACAACATGGCTAAACCAAGGACACAAAAGCTTACCTTGCAAGCTCACTATCCAATGCCAAGAGTCCATACAGCTCAAGTCCAACACACAGCAGATCACAATCTGATTAGGACCAGCAAGCATATCAACACTCATAGCTCATAAGCATAAACATAAAGACTATGTTTTCCTCTTACGATTTATGTCTTAAGGCTTCACACAAAGCCATAAGCCCATAACCACTTGATTATGACTTAGTTCAATTAAAACAGAAGTTCAACTTCATCAATCTAGGGTCCACAAACCCCCAATAGCCTACTGTATGAACAGTGCAGCTAATGTTCTGCGAAATCCCAGAATATCCGCATATTCGTCAGGGGCATATCCAGATATCAATATCCGGATATCTCTCTTCCAATATCCGGATATCCATATCCGGATATTCAGATCCCCATATCTGGATATCAATATCCGGATACCCATATGCGGATATCAATATCCGGATATTCACAACAAAGTATCCGGATATTTCGCGACAGAACCCAGATTCTGCATTTCACGAAAATCCACACCAAAGGTCCAACTTTTACCGATTATAGAAGCTTAAACATGCATTTCTAAGTGTGTTAAGCATTACCCTACGTTAGGTTATAATCTTAAGCTCATTACATGCATCAAGGTTCCATTTTTAACCAATAACTCATGATCAAAGGTTGAGTACGCATACCAGGCTTAAAACTGAACCAAAGGTTGCTCTTGGAGCTCACAACCAGCTCCTCAAGGTTCTGACTTGGATAGAAAACGAAAATACCAATTAAGGCTTGGCTCTTTCTCCCCAAAGGTTGCTTCTTGAAGCCACACAACCAAAGAACAAGGCTCTAAACCCCAGAACCAGAGAAGAAAGCCCAAGAAACATCCAAGAGTAGCTCACCAACTCAGAAACCAAACTTCTCACCCAACCCAACACAACCATAAGGTGATTTCAAGGAAGAAACAAGAGAAAAGATGATTATTTGGTGGTTTCTCAAGAAGAAATGGTGAAGACAAGTCAAGAAAGCACCAAGTCAGCAATAGGAGGCACAATGGTCAGGTAGGAAGGCTGAGTATCAGCCTAGGGTTTAGTTCCCTTAGTATATATATATATGCGGTTTAACACTTAAACACACAGTATTAACTTTAATTGCTACGCTTAGCATTTTAATCCCAAACTTTGGATTCTTAACCTACTCAATTTTACAAGAATTATCATATTTTTCGGAGCACCTTTCCGGTACGCGCTTTTCATAGCCAGTATCAGTTTCTGGCACCAGTTCTCATTATTTTAACTTGAAACTCGTTTTAAAAGTCCTATATATTATTCTAGGAATTATCATGCACTTATAATAATTTTCTGGGATACTTTATTGGTACGCATTTATACCGACTAACAGAACCGATATCTGCACTTTTCTTCCGAAAAGCGGCTTTCAGCATTCTTAATCACTTATCATACTTATTTAAGCCTCATAATAATTATTAGGGTCAATTATGGAATTATTTCCTAATTCTCATATATAATTAATTAATTTCCTTAATTAACGGTGCGAGTTCTTACAATGAACATCAGACAAAGTTATCCAAAATAACTTTAGACAAAATGAATCTTTATTTTAAGAGTAAATATCTTTTCTATCCTTAACAAAAAATACGGTCTCCACTTTAGTCCCTTACAAAAAAAAAATTAGTCTGTTTGTCCCTATGAAATTCAAAGTGGACCCATTTTAGTCCTTTTGAGGGACGAATATGTGTCTTTTTTGAATTTGTGATGAACCACAATTTCAACTAAATGGATCCACTTTGAATTTGTTAGGGACCTCGAGACTAATTTTTTTCCGTAAGGGACTAAAGTGGGGACCATGTTTTTTGTTAGGGACCAAAAATGGTATTTACTCTTATTTCAATTATATGATAATACACTTTTTAGTTTCCAACGAGTATTTTTTTTTGAGTAAATACCATTTTTGGTCCCTAGCAAAAAATATGGTCTCACTTTAGTCCCTTACAAAAAAAATTAATCGGTTGGTCCTTATAAAATTCAAAGTGGACCCATTTTAGTCCGTTTCATGGACTAATATGAGTCTTTTTTGAATTTACGAGGGACAACAATTTCAACTAAATGGATCCACTTTGAATTTGTTAGGGACCTTGAGACTATTTTTTTTTGTAAGGGACTAAAGTGGGAACCGTGTTTTTTGTTAGGGATCAAAAATGATATTTACTCTTATTTTAATTATATGATAGTACACTTTTTAGTTTCCAGCGGTATTTTTTTTTTGAGTAAATACCTTTTTTGATCCCTAACAAAAAATATGGTCCCCACTTTAGTCCTTTACAAAAGTTGGTTGGTCTCTATGAAATTCAAAGTGAATCCATTTTAATCCTTTTGAGGGACTAATGTGGGTATTTTCTGAATTTATGAGGGACCACGATTTCAACTAAATAGATCCATTTTGAATTTGTTAGGGACCTCAAGACTAATTTTTTTTGTAAAGGACTAAAGTGGTGACCGTGTTTTTTGTTAGGGACCAAAAAGAATATTTATTTATTTATTTATTTTGCCCCATCCGTTATCTAAAAAGGGTATTATGATATCTTTCCCACAAAAGAAGTTTTTTATTTTTTGTAAATAAAAGTATGGGTTGTAGCTTAGTATAATAAAAGTTGGCTCATTTATTACTAGAAAAAGCCATGAAAATTCTTCTGATAGTATGAAACAAATCATGTATGTTACTTTTCTAAAACAAATGCTTTATCCTTGTTATCAAGTGAAGATCATCTATCACCATTCTGTTTTCAGACTTTTCTTTTTAGCATCATATTCTACTGCTTTGGCAGCTTCTCTCTTTCGGCTTTATGTTCCCTTATCTTGAACCTATTCCATCACCATCATTTCCACCATTACTTTACTTAATTGGATTCCTAAATCCTAATTAAACAAGTAACCACTCGTTTATATCAGGTAAGATTTAAGTTTTGAAATATATTAAAGAATATTAGCTTTTTCATGATGATATGCTTTTCACACACACATTTCAACCTTCATATAGTATGACACGTAAGACTTTATTTTATGTCTACTAAACCAACATAAGAAAACATTTTGGCTGTTTGACAAAAAAAAGGATTTTTATCGCTTTAATTTTCCTATTTGGTATTCAATTTCTGATATTTACAGATAAAGGTCTTTTAGCGTCGTGGGGGAGTCCTAGCAACATTGAGTGTCGTGACCCCTATTGGGGCACTCACACGATTGTGCCAAGTGGCACAATCTCGTTACCATAGGCTGTCCTATTATAGTAAAATTTTAGAAGGCCATAACTTTCGACTAGGGTATCTAAATTAGATGATTTTTTATTTCACATAATTTTTCGAGATCTACGCAGTGACACCTCATTTAGTATATTTTATCTCTCACAAACATAGTTCGAATTTGTAACAATGATACCACAATCACAGGAAAAAGACTACGATAACTTTATGGCCATGCTTGATGCCTCTGAAGCTATTGTCTATCCTTGTTTTGTTCATTCTTTCCCTACTGCTAGGGTTCTCCATTTTTGCTCCCACTTTTTTTTTATTTTCTCTTCTTAACAAAAAACAGAGCAGGGATAGACAGTAACATGCTGGCTATGCTTGATGCCTCTAAAGCTATCGTTATCCCTGCTTTGTTTCTTCTTTCCCTACTGCTAAGGTTCTCCATTTTTGCTCCCACTTTTTTTTCGTTTTCTTTTCTTCACAAAAATAGAGCAGGGATAGACAATAATATGTTGGCCACGCTTGATGCCTCTGAAGCTATCGTTTATCCCTGCTATGTTCTTTCTTTTCCTACTGTTAGGGTTCTCCATTTTTGCTCATAATTTTTCTTCATTTTCTTTTCTTCACAAAAATAGAGCAGGGATAGACGATAACATGATGGCCATGCTTGATGCCTCTGAAGCTATCATCTATCCTTGCTCTATTCATTCTTTCCCTATTGCTAGGTGCTCCATTTTTGCTTCCACTTTTTCTTCAATTTATTTTCTTCACATAAATAGAGCAGGGATAAACGATAACATGCTGGCCATGTTTGATGCCTCTAAAGTTATCATCTATCATTGCTCTGTTTCTTCTTTCCCTACTGCTAAGGTTCTCCATTTTTTCTCCCATTTTTTTTTGTTTTCTTTTCTTCACAAAAACAAATTTTGAAATTAACTATTGTCTTGCACAAGTGCTGCTGCAACTCTAACAGACAGAAATTCAATTAATTAAAATCTCAACAAAACTAATTTGAAAATCGCGGAAGCTAAACAAATCAAGGGTTTCTACCTCTTCCCGCCAAAATCTGGCAAACATCATATGTTATAATCCTAATATATGCTTATGGATTTAAATTTTTTTGTGATTGTGGTACCATTGTTACAAATTCGAATTATGTTTGTGAGAGATAAAATATGTCAAATGAGATGTCATTGGATACATCTTGAAAAGTTATGTGAAGTAAAAAAAATTATCTGATTTGAATATCCGAATCAAAATATGCTTGTTATAAGGTATTGAAAATTCAAAAGAATATTTGCTTGTGTTACAACATATATATTTTCATTCTTACTATTCCATCTTGTCAGTCTCTTATTTCTCTCTTCTTCACTGCGTCCATTAGTGTCAAGGTTTCTTGATTCTACATCTCAATAAGAGAATGAACGATCATAGAGAGATCCCTGTTACAGCAACTAGCACTGGCATGTCCAACTATGGCAGCAACAACCCTTATGTTCACATTTCCCCTCTTCCTACTTCCTCTACAGCCACAAACCGTGAGTAGTTAATTTTCTAAGATATTGTGTTATGTAAATAGGAAGCGGGTCTTGGAGTATCGATAAGGTTTCTCCTTGAGATGAAAACTGGAAGGTTATGGGTTCAAGTGTAGGAAATAGTCTTTTTACAAAAATTCAAGGATAAAAATGCATATAATAAACCTCACGCCTGCCCCAAGTTAGGAAGTCATGTGCAATGAGATTTGTCCTTTTATTATGTTCTGTAAATGAATTCCTTCTTGTTTAATTGTTGTTTTCCTGTTATGGTTTCAGGTCCAAACCCAATGGATACGGTATATGATGCATTAAACCGTTGTAGCCGGAAGGTTGAAGAAGCAACTAGACGAGCTGAGATTATGGCTGACAATTTCTGGAATCACAGTGGGTTTGCCCAGAACTTTTTTGTGTCTGTCTCATGAAAGAAGTGCATCCTTTCCTTTCCTGAATAGTCGAAGACCGGAAAGATATGTCACGTGTGAGGATCTCAATCATCCACATACAAATCAACGGTGATGAAAGAATGCATGAAAAAAAGGATAACAGTTGGTTTATATGAGTTGATGAGATCCTCTCACATGACCTCGTATCACACAAAATGATCTATTTCCGGTTTCTATCTATAGTTTTTTGGAAAAAATATTTGTCCTTTTAAATGACATAACTTATGTCATCTCATTCTTACAAAGAGGTGGGACTCACACCTTTATGTTTATTGTCCACTCTTTTCTCTTTTATCTATCTCTTTCTCTCACTTAAAATGACACAACTTACATCCTTTAAAATGATACACATTTTTTCCATAGTTTTATAGTTCTATAGATTTATATGGTTATTGTTTTTAACATTCTGACTTTAGTTCTAACGGAATCTGGTTTTCTGTATACAGTAAGAATTAGTTCAAATCTAGCTGATGCAACAATAGCTAGAATTGTTCAAGGAACAAAGGTGCTTACTCTAGGAGGGCCTGATATGTTATTTCAACAAACATTTGGGATTTTCCAAGAAGAGAAACTCTTAAAGCCATTTGCTTGCTACATATCAACATCCACTGGACCTGTAATTGGAACGCTTTATGTATCAACTAAAAGATTAGCCTTTTGCAGCGACTATCCACTGTGTCATTATCCATTCTCCCAGCAAAATCATACCGTGAACTATAAGGTATTTTCTTTTTCTCTTTGTAAAATAAACACTTGGCAGTTTGGGAGTCGCCTATGTTACCCAAACGGTTGCGAGTAATCTTGTTTCTAACACAAGAAAGAAAAATATTTTAAGTACTCTACATTTACTAGAATTGAAAAAAAAAGTAATCTTGGCATATTAGTTAGTGCAAGGGAGCTCAATGGGTGGGTAACTACCTCGATCTTTACCAATGTCATCTTTGGAAAGAGATATAAAATCTTAATTCTTAATCTGGGCCGTACTCGGGATTGTAGGGATACCGGAGAAGCATACTCGCATCAAAGAAGTAATTAGGATTAACATAAAAAAAAAGTAATCTACCTAACAACATTTATTCCATCCCTTCCTTTATGGATAATGCGATACTCACACTCTTCTCATATTGGAACAGTGACCAAAATGCCACCTTTTGACAAAAATTTTATCTAAATGTTATGCGAACAATACTTTTTACCAGATTGCCACGTAGGCGTAATTCTCTACAACTGGTAGCGAATTACGTTTGCCAATGATCTTATGACACGTGGCACACTTTCGCAGGAAAAAACTGATTTATCATAATTCGCTACCAGTGGTAGTGAATTTGGTCTGTAATATGACCACGTGTCCCAAAATCATTAGCCACGAAATCGCTATCAGTAGTAGCGAATTATGACACGTGTCAGTCTGATAAAAGATACTCTTTGCATGGCATTTGAATAAATTTTTTGCCAAAAAAATAGCACTTTGATCACTATTCCTCTCATATTCTCTTTGCAAGTAACTAGACATTAACTAGACCCCACTTAAATTTCATTTTTGGGGAATTTTCACACCTCTTTAATGAGTACAAGTCCTAAGTTAAAACCTTTGGAATTTCTGAATAGGAGCATCTCAAATTTTAGGGAATTATTCGTGTCATGTACTGAATTTTTTGTGTCTTATATCTAGGTCGTAGTGCAGCTGGATCAATTGAGCACGGTTTGTCCTTCAACAAATAGATTGAATCCTGCAGAAAAATACATCCAGCTTGTCACGGTGGATGGTTATGAATTCTTTTTTATGGGGTTTGTTGCATATGAAAAGGCTCTCAAGACTATAAAAGAGGCTTTACAGCAATATCGCAACCATTACAGAGGAGGCTTGAGTGTTCAGCAAGCTTGAATTCTTTTTCATCTCTGTGCTTAGACATACCCTTGAATAACACTTTTCTATTTTTTATCGTCCAATTTCTTTCGGAACAAATCACGTACAACTTATGCTTACTAAGCCACAGTGACTTAGATTTTTTATATATGTGAACAGTGAACTAAACTACTCGGATTTCAGAAACACAAGGTAAATAGATTGCAAATGCAGAGTTCAAGTCAGGGGCGGACGCACACTCTTGCACTTGTCTGCAAGTGCAAACAGTAATTTTTGAATTTTTTTTTGGCGGACCCACATTCTTTTCTTTCAAAGCTTAAATCGTTTTAAGGGTTTTTTTTTTTTTTGTCTTCTTTAAAAGCAACTGACGCAGAATAATCAGTTTATTTTATGGGTTTTTATAAAGTTTTTCCTATTTTTTAATAGAAATAGGTTATTTTATCTACTTCTTTTTTCTGCATACCTTTGCCAACTACTCTAAACACCATTAAATTATAATTTCAACTAATCTTTATCTTTCTTTCTCCTCTTGAAATTATGATTTGATGATATTGGAGAGTAATAGACAAATGTAGTTAGAATAATCAATCCCTTTTAATATTCCTTTATTGTCATTTCTAGATTTATTTTTATTTTTTTGGGTTAAACTCTTTGGATTGCAAACCGCAAAACTCTCACATATTCCGAAAGGAGAGGGATAAAAGCGGGATTTGTCCATTTCCTTATAATTAACAGGAAAGGACTCTACACGTTGAACTACCTAGTAGGCTAGCACCTTCTCCTCACTGCCATTTCTTATATACCAAAAAAATTAAAAATAATAAAAATTTACCGCAAAGGAAAAAAAAAATTGGAAAATCGTTGAAGAATATAAAAACTGGTGGCATAACCAAAACTGGATCTGGAAGTTTGTTTATGCACTGAAAAGAATGAAAACTGATTTCCATTATACCCTAATGCATTCGTTCTAAAACATTATCTTAGAGCCAATCAAGCGAATTATAGTAACCCAAATAAATTAAATTTATCTCGTAATATAAGTAAAAGCAAGAATACATTACAAAAAGAAAAAGTAAAAGCAAGAATAACAAACATTGCAAAAATTCAAAAGAAAAGACTCTACTCAACCAACTACGCAATTTCCTATGTAAAGCATGGGTTTTTTGAGGCCTTAGAGCAAACCTTTGGTACATTTGATAATATGGTACATCCGTTTACTAAAATGGTTAATTTCTTTTTTTACTTTAATCCTTACTATTTTTTATATTCTCCTCTTGCCCCGCAAACTTTCCTCATTTAGTTCGGTACACTTGTAGCATTAAAAATAGGATTTATCATCTATCATTTAACATGACCACAAAAAGTTTTCTACACACACAACATTTTGTGGGGCCCGCAGCAAAAAAAATTCAGCACGCAAAACGAATCTCTATAACATAACACAATCACTTTTCCTACGACATAACTCTTATAAAACCCTTAAAAATATAGACCTTCATAGGAAAGATGGCTAAATTGAACGAAGCCCCAAAGAAAGATGCTTGAGAACAAATCGAAGCTGAAATAAGAAAAGAGTCTTCGTCTCTCCTAATTATTTATGCGTGGCCCAAAGCATACATGTCCTAGGTTCCAATTCTTCCCACAAATGTAGAAAAAGTTGCATCCAAACCTGAAAAGAGAAAATCGAGCTATTATAATTATTTTCCCTGCTTTCATGGAAACATTTTTCTCATGTTACATGAGAAAGCTTTTGTTACATATTTATCAAAATTCGAGTCAGTAATTTTTTTTCATTTTTTTTAGTTGTGGGATCCACATAATTATGTCTCAACATGAAATAATATTTTCTCATGTAATATTAGAAAAACATTGCCCTTTATTATAATGATATAATAATAAAGCAAAAAGTACCTTTGTTGCAACATAATATAAAATTATTTCCGGCAACTACTAAACACAAATGTTTTAGGGTTTGGAAAAAAATGTAAAGGATTTTGAGAATTTTATTTCTCTTTTCAAAATGTCCTGTATTTTTTCTCAAATTACAAAAATATATATTTTTGGATTACAGGAGACAATTATCTCATCATGTAAGAGGAAAATTACTAAACCCCAGAATAAATTACATAGATTGAATATTAAAAAGTTATGAACATAATAATATAAGGATTAATGAGAGAAGATAGAGATACAAAACACAACCTGCAAGTCATGTAGTCACATCTCGTATCTCTTTGGACATACATAAAGCATTTGGGATAACTTTGTCACATTTTGTCTTTGGCCAACATCAATAACATCCTATCTATTCTGTCTTAGAGACAGAGATGCCTAGCTGAATAGACTAGTATGTTGCTCTTGGATCTAGGGGCCCTCTCCAAGGTATCTCTATGGATGAGATATCTTGAGTCATGCAGATCACTGTGCACTGAATAATAAACGACTTTGCCAAATGGTGTATGTATGCATAGTGACAACATAACAGTAAGGGAGAGAACGTAACATACTTGTAGGTTTTACCTCTAATTTATAGAGTTTACCTGTGGGTAGTAGGATTTGGACCTTTAGTGCTTCCAGTGATGGCCCAAGACCGTACGCTAAGCTGTCGTATTAGGATTGATGTATTTGATGGATATCCTTCCATATTTATGTGTGATTTGTATCTTAGATTGCCCCTTGTCGGGCTTGTCGATCATTAGGCCTCATATATGGGTCCATAACAATTGCCCCTCAGCCGGGTAGTTTAGGTGTCCGGCCTGCCGGGGTGGAATATTTGCGTTAATCCGGGTTCTTTCAGAGAATGCCCAGGTTTTTATGACTTCTTCATGTACGAATTTGGGCTTTCGAGATTTGTTTCAAGATTTCTGAATTTCTGTATTAAGGGACAATATCTCCTTGCCCCTTATCTCGACAAGGTGAGTAATCAGCATGCCGAGTTATTAGTCCTGTTGTTCCAATATGAGTTAAAGATGGGTTTTAAATGGTTTTATGTCCAAATGGTGAGCTGCCCCAAACCTATTACTTTTGTATCTTGCTGTAGCTTGTTGTTAAGTGTATAGTTCTTTTCAGGAACCCGGCTAGAGGTTGCTGAAATTTTAGCTGCTTGTGTGATCATTCCACCGGGATCATGGTTGCCTTTATTGTAGTAATGATTTCATTTTTACACGTGGCAATTGTCGCATTTGTTAGCATGCTGCAACCAATTTGTGCCATTTTCATTTTTCGTGTGCATTTATTGGATGGTTCATTTCAGAGGTCTAATCATTACCTTTATGTGTAATGACTTTCTTACCCCTGACCCTTCCCATTCGAAAATCGCTACGGTTACTAGAGGTTGCCTATATATATTCTCCATCTTTCTCTTTTTTTCTTCTTTCACACTTATTATTCTCCAGAAGTCTTGTTCTCCTCGTGATTTTCTTGCGCGACAGCATTTGCAACTTTTGCTTTCAAACACTCTTTCTCTTAAGGTATTTCACTCTTCTCCTAAATTCGTCCATTTTTTTTCGTGTTTTTGAGTATCTGTATGTGTTGTTGTTCTTTCAATTTTTCCCTGTTGGAATCTTCATCTCTCGTATTTTTGAACTTTCTATTCTGGATGTTGTTGAATCGTTTGTAACTTGTGTTTTGAATTTCGTTAATGTTTCTGGCTTTTCTAGAGAGGTGCATTTTCTCCCAATTTTGAAGTTCTAGGTGTATTATTCCCAGTTTTCTGTCCCATTTTTCTCTACTACTTTAAATTTGTTGTCGCTCCCACTGTTTACTACAATGAGGGGGGAAAAAGGACCCTTCTTCAATTATGCGTGGTGAAGTGGAGAAAGAGGATGAATCCGAGTTACTGAAGAAGGTCCCTCCTGGGGGATACCGAAAACTGAGGAGGAAGAACACGAAGCCATGCTTCGTGGTTATCGTGGTGGAGGATCCAAGAAGAGATCCGGGTTGTCGAGTCGTGGTTTGAATGAGAACCTACTAGCCGGGCTCGTGGTTTTTCCAGACGGGGTAGGGGTCATCCTTTTGCTAACAGACATATTTCCTAATATTTTCTCCAAACCGGGTTAGACCTTTCCAGTGTCGTTTCTACTCTGGGTCCTGGTATGTCGTCCACTTCCCGAGTTCTCCTCAAATTCTCCCAATCTAAGCAAGTTGGCATATGTTATTCTTGTGTCTTTCTGAGTTCTAAACTCATTGAGAAATGATGTGACTCTCTAGTCGAGTCTACCTTGGCGAGTTGTCGTCACAGAGATATTTCGGGTTCTACCTCGGCTTCCAGTGAGGCAGATGATCCAATTGTGGTCTCGGATAAATCCTCTTCTTCATCCTCTAGCGATTCTTCTACTAGTGGCTTTTTTTATTCAGGTATGTCCTTTCACTTCTTTTGATTATGCATCTCCTTGTTTTAGGTATTTATGATGTCATCTCCACCAGAGATTGTAAAGGAGTCTCATTCTTCTGAGGCAGATTCTGAGTCTCCTCCTGCCGCCTTAATAGCCCAATTTCCCTGGGTGACTTATGAGGTTTTAAGTACTACCACCGAGAAGAGCGTGGAGGATGTGTCTGGGCTCAATGTTGGGAACTTAGAGAATTAGGATATCGTTCCTCCACGTGAAGACGAGCTAGTTTATTCTGGGAGGAACTCGAACGAACCTTCATTTTTCTTCTTTTACCGAGATCTTGTAACTCAACTCGGCATTTGGTTCCCCTAAACTTAACATTTTCCATGACACTTTTTATCTTAACTTAACGTTTTGTTAAGTTACTATTGATGAAGATGAGCATTGGTTCCTTCAATCGTAGTCTAGGTTTCGTAACCCGGTTCTATCTAAGGTAAAGGCAATATGGTCATATGTCCTATCTTGGTCTTTTAACCGTAGTATGGAGCATTTCAACTTGATCAGAGTTAGCATGACAAATAACACTTATATCTCGGATTTATGTTTATGCATCATAATCATGTAAGCATAAGTTTCGGAAAAAAAATTCCTTGTTTATTGATATCAAAGACTTTGATTACATGAATT